TTCGGACTTTTCAGCCCCTGCCCCCGCCCCCCCGGGATAGAAGTTCCCTCCTCCGTTTTGTTTTTCTGTTTTGCAACCCATTCCTACATATTTTCTTTTACTGTCTAATTCAATTGAGCGGTTCGAATCTAGACGATAGTCCGTTGTCACAACCAGCTAAGCTCTGACTACATTCGGGCCTCTTCTGTACGAGCTGGATTCCCCTTATGCGACAAGGTTTGTCGAAATGCCCGCAATGCCTGGGCGGTGTTTTTGTTTCAGTTTTTTTTTGGCTGGCGCTGGCAGCCATTTTGGTCCGGTTACACCGAGACTCCAAAATTTTAGGAGAGGCTTCATCGTGATTCTCAAGTCGACAGGGCCCGTGTACTGGTGGTTTAATAACGTAATGCCATCGCATGACGAATCTTACGCCATACTACAAGAGCATGCCGGACCAACAGGGCTCGCTCAATTGGTGCGTTCACCCATGCACTGATGAAATATTACAGACCTGAGTTCGAATTGCCATGGAAGTTGATGGAACTGGATGACTGGAATGAAACACTTCTTGAAAAAAAAAAACGAAAGGCATACAGGCAGTTTGGTCTACAGCCCAGCCAGCCCCTGGTCGATGGGTGTACCAGCACAAAGCAGAGAACCAAGTAATCACTCTTTCAGCGATGAGGAAAGAACCACAAGTGCCACTGAATCCAAGATCATAGACTCGTGGCAACTTACACGCATGAGGGTCTCATAACAGTCCCGTATGTGCTTCGAAGCTGGCCCCAGGCCATGTAGCTGTGGTCGTTCCATTCTATGTGTCCAAGGTTGTATTTCCTGCATGAGCATAGCGAATATACAGACTCTGTGAATGGCAAATCCATGCATAGATTCTTACTATGTAAAATAGCCCAACGCATGTACAGACTCAGACTATGAGAATAGCACAAAGCAGACCATGTGAACATCAAAATGGATGTACAGCCTATGTGATATAGCTCAATGCAGAGTATATGCATAGCACAACGCACGTACAGACTATGTGCGCAAGGGCAAAGAAACCTTCACAGACAGGTTGGCATCCATGCATATGTATTACGTACTGCTCCCAACTGTGGAACACAGTACCGGTGGACATGACGATCCAAGCACATAAAATGAGCACACAGACAGGGCATGCTGAACACTGTCCATCACCCGGCACCTCACCACCACCATCCTTCCCCTGAGCTCCTCAGACGCCCACTTTTTTTTTTTCTTTTTGGACGATCCGTTCCATTCTGGCGAGTATCACTCCGGTTCCTATTCCACCGGCAAGTCAGAAAGGCATACCAAATTATACTCACCCATGCTCCTCCCCATTATGGCTGAGAGGGCTGAGTAGACGGCATTGATTACATCCGTAGGGAAGGAAGGATGTACCACCCCTCACCCCTGCCGACACCCACTTCTTTTTCTTCTTGCTTTTCAATTAACGGGGTAACCCCTAGCATTATAGTAAGCACAAGGCTCTCACGATTTGCTAATCAACAGTTAATACTACTTAATAGTACTTAGTACATGTCTGCCAATCAGCGCACCAGGGGTGTCTATGTGTGCCAATCAGCGCACCAGGGGTGTTTATGAGAGGGGGGTTCTGAACTCTTCCGGCCCCCACGGATAATCGCAAAATAATAAAGGCATAACCCTCCCTCTCCTCCCCCCTCCCCCCCCCGAAAAAAAAGAAGAAGACACAACTGGCGGCTTGGGACTGTTCTGGGCTACCACAATGGCCACCAGGAGGAGGGGAATCAAGGAGACAGAGAAGACATGCATGACGAGGACAGCAGCCAGAAGATGCAAAAAGGGGGAGGCAGACTTTCAGGGGGGGGAACAGGGAGGGGGAGAGAGGCACTGGCGAAGGGGACGAGCAGACAGAAGAAGATTCAGAAAGGGGTGACATACAGTCATCTGCAAGGCCCACCAGCGACAGCAGCCAGAACGTTCCTGAGCATTCCACGGGCGCAAACAGGCCCAAAATTCCAGTTCTTGCCAGTTGGGGTCTAAGATGAGTGCACAAGCCAAACAAAGGTCCTGTAATCGCCTCCGCCCCCTCCACTCCCGACTGCCCTCTCCATGACTAGGCTTCTCTGGGGCTATGAAGGCTGGCTCATGGCACATGCCATGGAGTAACGAACGGTTGCGTGTATGGCTCCCCTAGCGACACAAGTGCGCAGTGAGTGAAAGGTCACAAGCACCACTCTCAAGCACCACTCTTCGCATCTCTGTCTCTGCAAGCACGTGCTGCAAACTTCGCCCCATATTGCAGCTGACCACCCCATCAACTCCCACCTCTTACTTACCACCTGTTCCCTCCCTCCCCCCTGCAGCCTGTTACTTGCTACCAGTTGCCTGCCACATATCCCCTCCCAGCCGCCATCTGGTAACTCGAACATCACCCCTCCCACCTGCAAATTGCCACCCTGCGATCAGCCACCCAAACCTGAACTTTTTTTTTTTTTTTTTAAATTGATATATGTGTGTCATCCCTTGTGCAGGGGCCATGCCAATCTTCTCTGTATTGTTCAAGTTTTAATGGATGTCCCGAAGGACAACCTGCACCTTCTTTGGTAGAATCAAATTTCAATGTCCAATTTTTTCCAATTAGTAACCAACCGGTGGGTTCATTACCTTCGTAAAGACCACGTTGAACGTTCTGGCAGTCTCGATAAAAAGTGCGAGCTTCTCTTGGACATCCTTGTCAGCAATTGCAGAGTGTTCGTTGGCATTATAGATCCTCTGGAAACACAAAGCAGGGGGCATTAAAAACTAATAACAATACAAAAATCCAAATGAGGCAACAAAAAGTATACAGTACTATACACAGATGTGTAGAGATGCAGACAACTTGACCTCTACACACTTGGTAGTCGACAGAAAAAAATGACCACCACAATACTATTTTGTTCGAGAAAAGTGATTCGCAGCAAATACAGGAAAAAGCCGTAGTGGCCATGTCGAAGGCCCAAATGATAAAAGCGCATCCATCTGTCCATCCGTCAACAGCAAATCAAGGAAGTAGCCTCTTCACAGATGGCTACTGTCTTCACCCGAATAGAACGCCTAGTCATTATCGCTGCATGAGGACTGAAAGTTGCTCCAAATACCTCTATAACGACCGGCCATTCTATTCAGGTGAAGACCGTAAGCAGACTAAGCCTCTCTGAACCCCTTCGCCCCATAACCCTAGAGCTGATGAAGCAAACGCCAGCAAGAGAAAAGACACTCGATGCACCAGATATATACGGATAAGTATAGGAGCAGGGAGATAGGGGGGAAGCTGAGAGAGAAGGGGGGAGAAAATAGGTAGAACTAACGGGTTCGGGTAGAAGAAAGGATGGTATAGGGGCAAGAGGAAAGAAAGGAGGTAGGGGTAGCCAGGAAAAAGATTTTGTTAAACGGGGAGGAGAAGAGAGTAGGGCAGTATGCAAATAGAAGTAGAGCACAGGAAAAGGAGGCTGATTCAGGAGTACAACAAAGTAGGGTTAAGGCAAACAGAAGGGAAAGGAGAGAGCAGAGTGTTTGGGAAATGGCATAGAAGCGGTACAGAAAAGAAGGAAGGTGGAACAGGGGTGAGCAGGGGTAAATCCTCCGCATAAAGGAGCAATCCTATGACTCGGGATTCCTCACACTGCTCACAGGCTCTTTTTTTTTTTCTTTCTTTCTTTTTTAAGAAAAGGTTGTGCAGGCTGAGGTATAGGCAGGCCCTACCCTGGCGGCCAGTGCTTTAATGAAGTTTAATCACACTCCCACGACACACCCGGGGCAGAGCGGGGGCATTCCAAGCCGGGGGACTCCCAATGGTACCCAATCGCTCAGCGACCCCCCTCTCCCAACTGTGTATTTCATCACTAGGCCAATTTAACCAAATCCGGTTGGGATGATGCTCAAAAACATATACAACTAAATGCATGAACAGAGGAAGGTGTAGAGCGTGTTTCATATGAGAGGGACGCTGAACCCACTTTTCACAAGTTTTCAGCTATCATAAAGGTTATGACTTTCTTCGGACCACAACTAACTCTTAAGACTCTTTCTGCCGAGGTGGACTAGAACTACGCGCCAAGCTTTGCCGACGCGCCAGCGCAACCTTTTTTCTTTTCTTTTGGCTGGTGCCGCCATCCATTGTTGGCCCGTGGCGCCTGGGCTCCACGGAATGCGGTATAGGTTATATTCACGACTTGGCCTTCGGCCCTTCGCCTCTGAAAGGTAGAGGTGGTTTGGGAAAAAAAAAAAAAAACACTTCCCCTTTCTTTGGTGGTTATTCCCGGGGTTGATACTGAATTGCTGTATGCATACCTTCTTCGCCAACTCATTCACCAGTTGGTGAAGATGGTCCACTTCCTTGGAGTACTCAGCCAACTGACTCTCGAGAGCAGAGATGGGAGGTCTGTGTTATACAGCCAAAATGCACAGACATTGGACAGAAATAGCCAGCGTCAGACAGAACAAAAGGCTTGATGAAGAAAGGCAAGCTCCATGATTGTTTTGACGGAGGCCTTCACTGATAGTTTTAACAATGCAATGAAGAAATTCTTAGGGGGGTAGACAGTAATAGCAACCCCAACGAGGCACAGGGATTGATACCGCCTGTCTGAACGCTGACCTCCATTTCAACAGCCTCCGAAGGGCAAGGCCGAAACGACCTTCCTTTCAACGGCCTTCACTGTGGGGAACTTTTGAGGGGCAAGGAAGAAATTTGTCCAGCGGATTGGATGTACAAAATCATAAATTGCACGGCACCAGGTTGGGACTAACTTGGTAGCAGTTTTCCAGTCAATTTTTTTTTTATACTATAATGGAAACAACTTCAGGCTAAGAGTCACCTCAGAATTTCTTATTGAATCGAAGATAAAAACGAAAATAGTAAAATACAGAGGCACATCCATATAAATCCGCATTTATACTACTCCCCACGCTGGTCATCGCTGATGATACACCCGCATCTCCACGAGCAGTCGTTTAGCCCAAATGACCAAAAAAAAAGGGAGCCCTGCTTCACCTCGACGTCCCAAATGACGGACCTTGCAAGCTCCACATTGGAAAACCAGAAAACCCAAGGAGCTAAAGACAAAAGCGCGCTATTTGAATGTTTTCTTCTTACGAGCGAGGAGCGCTACTTTGCCTCCATACTTCAATTTATTTCTCTGATGAATGCCTCTGGCGTGCCCCCGGCCATCTCTGAACAGCTGGATGGATTCTGGCCAAGCCATTAGAGCAAATTAAACCACCGGTTCACACTTAGAGCCGAATTGGACAAAGCTATGCCTTCTAAGGCTCCTGAACCTGCAACTGTGCCTTTTCAAAGTGACCTATGCTTTCGCTACCGGCCCAGGCCCGAATCGGAATGCTCTTACCACTTATACCGGCAAGAGCACTAGTTAGGAGGTTCGTGAGAATTGTTGTTGGTGATTTAAAGGCAAATCATGGAGGTGGACCAGACCATATGATTCAGCTTGTCGGTGATTGACATGGGACTTCAGGGTTGGTCAGGTTCACATGTTTGGGTTATCTGAATGTAAGAAACAAAAAAGTTAGACCGCAAAATAAGACCCAACCAAAGCGATAAGGATGACGCCCAGGCAGAGACGTGGAGGAGCAGGGGACACAGGGATTGATGCACGATACAAAGATGGGAGAGAGAAAGAGGAGAGATCTGCACTACAAAATCACAGATGCAAGTTCGAGCAAAGCAGGCAACTTCATACCATTGTTGACATTTTTGGAATTGGGATATGAAGACGATTCTCTGCACCACAGCATCAAGCACACAAGGGGCAGGAGGGAGAGGAGGGGTTGGGATGGGGAGAGAAAGACGGGGGGGGAGGGAGGTGGGAAAGAAGGGACAAAGAAGGGGAGAGGGATAACGGGGAGAGAGAGAGAGAGAGAGAGAGAGAGAGAGAGAGAGAGAGAGAGAGAGAGAGAGAGAGAGAGAGAGAGCAGTGAGGTGGGAGGCAGACTTCAGGTTCAGCAGCATGAGAGACTCACACTGACTGCACCATGTTGAACTGTGTGTCCCTAGGGAAGAGATTGCATTCTTCTGATAGGACTACAGCCTGCTTTTCACACAGAGCATCGAGCAGCTGTACATCTCTGGCTGCTTGCTCGTCTACGCTGCATGGAACAGGAAATGGCACGCACACAACAGGAAGGACCGAAATCTTAATTAGAGATGATCAAGATACATTTGAGCAAAGAACCAAGATACTAGTTAGAGATGATGAAGATACATTTGAGCACAGCCATGACCACCCAAGCAAACTTGCCAGACAACACAACTACACAGTACCGAAATCTTAATTAGAGATGATCAAGATACATTTGAGCAAAGAACCAAGATATTAGTTAGAGATGATGAAGATACATTTGAGCACAGCCATGACCACCCAAGCAAACTTGCCAGACAACACAACTACACAGTACCGCGGAGGGTGAGTGAGTGAGTGTGTGCACACGCGTGTGTGTGTGTGTGTGTGTGTGTGTGTGTGTGTGTGTGTGTGTGTGTGTGTGTGTGTGTGTGTGTTGTTTTAAAAGACCCCAGATTCTCTCGGTCATTCCCTTCACAGATCATCACAAGCCATCAATAACGAAAAAGTATAGATAGGCAACATAATAGAAATGCAAGGTTGGCCACGTTTGTGTGGTTCAGCGCCAAGTGCCCACACACCCGTCTGCCGGCAAAGCGGCACACTTGCACATATACATATGTCTACATATGTATTTCAAACCATAAGGGGATGGAGGGCAGAAGGCAACTTACCTAGGACAGAATACTCCAGCAAGAAGGCACCGACCCGGCCCCCTCAAAGGTCCGAAAAAACTTGGAGAGCCTTCCGTATCGGCCCACAAAACCAAAAACTCATTTATCAAAAACAAACAAATATAACAGCACTGGCATTCCCGACATTCATCTCAAACTACACACTGAGGAAGAAGATAAGAGACAACTTACCTAAGACAGAAGACTCCTCCAGCAAGAAAACCGATCCCCCCTGCTAAGCGTCCGAAAAAAATGGGAAAGCCTTCCACGCCGGCCCACACAACATACATTCCCCCCAAAGAGAACTCGTGGCCACCCGTAAACATCCAAACAGCCCATGCTCTAAAGCAGAGCAAAGAATTAGGCCGTGTATAATCAACAAAACCAACAACACATATCCAACCACAAAAAGAGAGAATAGCTCGCTAGTACTAGCCCGATCCTAGCCGCTCAAACCGTGTGTGTGTGTGTGTGTGCGTGTGTGTGTTGTTTTAAAAAAAAAACAGATTCCCTCTCTCATTCCCTTCACAAATCATCACAAGCCATCCATAACGAAAAAGTATAGATAAGCAATATAATAGAAAATGCAAAGTTGTGTGTGTGTGTGTGTGTGTGTGTGTGTGTGTGTGTGTGTGTGTTTTAGATTTTCCCCACAACAGCCCCAATTCCACCCAGGTGAATAGATTCAGAATCAAAACACTCTTTGTCCTATTGCAGACAACGAGAGCATTTGAGATGTCCAACATATTAAAGCAATTTTATAATTAGACAGTTTTTTGGTTGTCCTTGGGGTACCCCTTTCATTGTTCTTGCAGCTCCCCTTTTACTGTGCCTCTTACGCCTTTCACAAGGCTGCCCACGTTGGTGACACGTTGGTTGTCCTTGGGGTACCCCTTTCACAAGGCTGCCCACGTTGCTTGTGGTTGAGCGGCAGCTGCCCACATCCCCGTGTGACTTCACGGCCATCTTGCACGTTATTTCAGGAGGCAGAGTAAAAGGGAAGGTATGCTCCTGTGCACCTCGTCAGAGCTTCATACTCCTGTTCATTTCACTTCAGATCTTCAGCTTATACAGTCTTTGTGTCCGTCCTTCATCTTCATACTTCTGTTCATTTCATTTCTGATCTTCATATCGTCTATA